ATAATAATAATAATAATAATAATAATAACCACCTCGTTAAGTAGCCCGTGTGTGGCATTACACGTAAGTGACGCCTTTTGTTAACACAAAATCTTCTTTGAAAATTTCAACTCTGTTTCTTATTTCATCAAGTTTGTTTTGGTATTTTTATAATCTGACCATCCAAACTGAAAAAACATCTTTAAAGATATTCTTTTTGGGTGTTCCACTTTCAGTTCTAAAAGTTAACATGGATATTCAATTGAATCCTAACGTTTATTAAACCACATCTAAGTACTATAATTAACATTGAAATCAGTAAGTCCAAACTGAAATTTTAGGGACTTTATACCAGGGGTGAGTATTTTTGAGTAAGTCAGGTATGAGATATATTGAGTACTTAATTTCAAAATTTTTAAATACACCTTTTTAAACATATTTCTTAACTAAATACTTGAAAACCTATACTTAGTATTTAACCCAACAAATATTAAGTTATATACTTGTATAATTGGTTTAAGAAAAGAGGAGGCCTTATACGAATTATTATTACTACCAATGTCATGTGTTTAATTTAGGGTTGTTATTTATACAAATTGTTATTCTTGCTCGTGTGATCCTTGGCTTACAAGCCTTACTTTACTTCTATTTTTATTTTTGTTTTTAAAATTCATTGTTATTATGCAATATTAAGTATAATAAATACATATAAAATTTCAATTATACAAATATAGGTAATAGATCAATTAAACAAGTTGGTTAAATATATCAAGCAACTAGTTTTAAACGCCAATATTTATTATTTGACTTGATACTTATAGATTTGTTGTTTTCATACTTATTATTTACCTAATTTTTTTATAATTTGAATATAATACTTTTCTAAATAGATAAAATACTTATAAATAATAAGTATATCCATACTTAACACTCACTCTTATTTTATACGTATGTATGTGATATATGTTTTTTTTATTAAAAGAAATGTTAGTCCAAACAACTCTAAGTTCTTGATGTATAAAAAAGAAGGTCAAACTACAATCAAAGAATTGTAATTTTCCAAACTTACTTCTTCTTTTTTTCTTTTCCATCCTCAACATAAAACACTTTTCTCTATATTACATAATATAAAAATGGAAAAGAAAAATGTTAGCAACTGAACCCAAAAGAAAAAGAGGAGCACAAATAATCTCTGTGATTTCAACAACAATCTTTGCCTCATTGACATCTTAATTATAACTTTCAATTTGGATTAGCAGACCTTTTAGGCATACAAAAGCAGCATGGCAATGAGTGAACAAATTCAGTTTATGTCAGGGCTAGGTCCGAACAGTGGCACGGACTGACCTTTGGAGAGCACCGCCATAAGTCTCCTAAACATTGACTCCAAGTTAATTGGATTTTGATCAGTTTGACTTCCTGAAACCTCCATCGTAGATGGTGGAAAAGCTCGAGACTGAGAACTCCTCATGAGAAGGACAGCAATGGTTAGAAGAATCATCCGGAAATAAAATAAGCTGTGGTTGACACTCCTGCATCTACTCAAGCACCCCATTTTTCAATCGCTATGTTTCTGATGTAGGACTGTACAAAAACTTGGTATTAGTTTTTCATGCATGAAAGGTAGTCTCAAACTTTGCGTGTATATATATATATATATGGACATGCACTAATGCGCCCTATTTCGTTACACACTGACAGTTCGTAAAAAACGAGTTATTGTTTTGAACACAAAATTAGAACACAAAATTAGAACATATAAAACTCCAAACAAAAAATTAACTATCCACAATGTAGATCAATGTTTTTTGAATACCTAGACAAAATTTCAATTCAATCCAATGACAAACTTTCGCAAGTCAAACAAAATGATAAGGTTGCGCATAGTGCCAAAATTGCAGAAAAACAAATCACCAAAAACAAGCTACTATTCTGAGCACAAACTTAGAACTAGGGGTGGGCGTTGGGCGGTTTCGGTTACAATCGCAACCGAGATGCTGGTTAACCAAGATGTTGATTTCTTAATTTTAGAACTCAAAAACCGCACTCAATGTTTTAATTTTTGCAGTTTCGATTGTTTTGGTCTCGATTGTTTTAGTTTTGGTTTTAGGTTTCAACCGCTATTCAAAATGGCTTATTGATGGCGGAAATGCAAGCTACATATCGGAGATGAGGGAAGAATGATGAGAGAATCTGGTATGAGAAAGCCGATGGAAAGAGGAGATGGCAACTAACAACAACGGAGAAGAGAGAGGAAAAAATCACAAAGTGATTCTTTGTTTCTAGATCTAGAAAAAAAAGAATGAAATCAGGAGAAGAAACCACTACAAGAAAATCCACATTTAGTGACTAAATTATTAATCATTAAATCTTTATTTTTCGTCACAAATTATTATTAATAATAAAATTTAAACCGTTAGTAAAACTTTTGTTACTAATGCTCTTAGTAACAAATTAAGCACTTGTCATAGAAAATAATCTTATAGTGATAGAAAAAATTGACTTTGTTAACAAGTTCTTTATAACAATTTTATTTGTCACAAAAAAATATTTTTTGTTATAATAATTTTCATCACAAATGTTACAATTGGGTGAAAAAAATAGTTACAAACGCAATTGATAATGAAAAATTTAGTCATTAATTATTAAAATTGATATTAAATAATAAAGATATTTATATAATTACAACACAAATATTGTAACAAAAATTTTGTCATAAAAAAATAATATATAAATTTATCACAAAAGTTTAATAAAAAATAATATTATTTCAATAATAATCAATTTTGATTAAAATTAATCAAGCCCGATTAAAATTAATCCGGCCCAAACTAATCTTAAGTTTTATTGAGTTTCACATGTTTTATAGTGCAAAAATTTATTTTCTTAAATATTTGTCATCGATATGGATATATTTATAATGCAAAACCTTATTCTTTTATGTGTTTTTTATCGATGTGGGATGTATTGATTAGAGAAAATTGACAATTTTTAGTGACGAAATATATTTTTATTGATGAGTTATTAGGTCATCATTGAATGTGTAAGGTATATGTGACCAATATTAGAATTCTATCATAATTGTAATGCATTATAGTAATGATTTTTATCGACAAAAACTTATTTTATCTCTATAAACTTTTTTTGGTGACGAAATATATTTTTTATGATGAATTTTTTTCTTCATCATTAAATATGTATGTATCTGTAATTAATTTTTTAGATTTGTTACAACTGTGATAAATTATAGTGATAATTTTAAAATTTATCACAAATTTCTGTCACTAAAAATCTTTTTTCTTGCAGTGAACTAATAGGAATGAACTATTAGAAAAGTAGAACAGATTTTCTCTATTGGGAAGAGGAAGGAGAGTTAAAGAAAATGGGTTACTGGAGAAAATTTGCAGTACCATCGATGGGGAAATCTTACATGAAAAAACGTAAAAGACTAAAAAATTATATAAAAGTATTCAGAATACAAATACAAAAAATAAAAAAGGGTTGGGCTTTTCGGTTTTTCGGGCCTACTCATGCTGTTGTCGGTTCTTGGGCTTAGGAACCAACAACCGGTCACCTGGGCTCTAGGTTGCAATCGGGATCGAGGCCCAGCCCAACCAAATGCCAAAAAAGCCCAACCCGTCGGTTGTAGTTGTCAACGGGCACGGTTTTTTTTACAGTTTCGGGCCCAAACGCCCAGTCCTACTTAGAACTTCCAATACTCCAAACAAAAAATTAGTCGTTCATAATGTAGATCAATATCTTTTAAACACTCAACAAAATTTTAGCTCAATCCAGCAGTGAAATTTTGCAAATCAGACAAAATGGGAAAGCTACGCATAATACCAAAGTTGCAGAAAAACATATCACTAAAAATAAGCTACCATTTTGGGTACAAAATTAAAACTTACAAAGCTTCAAACAAAAAACATACTGTTCATAATGTAGATTAATATCTCTTGAACATCCAGACAAAATTTTAGCTCAATCTAATTGTAAACTTTTGCAAATCAGACAAAATGGGAAAGCTACGCATAATACCAAAATTGCAGAAAAACATATCACAAAAAATAAGCTACCATTTTGGGTACAAAATTAAAACTTATAAAGCTTCAAACAAAAAACATATTGTTCATAATGTAGATTAATATCTCTTGAGCACCTAGACAAAATTCAACTCAACCCAATGATGAACTTTTGCAGATCGGACAAAATAGAAAAGCTGTGTATAGTACCAAATTCGCAAAAATTTCCCCTATTTTCAAGAGCAAAGCTAGACTTCTGGGTGAGGAAGGGAAAAATTTTAAAATTTTTCTGAGTTATAATAAGTTTATATTAATATAATTTATATTAATTTTTAACTATTAGTTATATAGTTTGTTAGTAGAGTTATGTATACTCTTACCTCTCCATTTTCCTTATTTGCATAAGTAACTAAATTAAAAGAAAAAACAAAGTAAAAGGAAATTTTCCCTTCCCTTCCCTTCCATTCCTTCAATCCAAACATATTATTATCATAGGTCTTGAGTTTAATCCATAATTTTTACATACAAAAATATATATACTAATTTTTATATTAATTACTAACTTTACGAGTAAATGTACTACTTATAACATACATATATGCCAAACTATAAATTAATTAAATATATTTAGTTATTTTTAAATAATATACAATTCAATACCCTTAAACAAATAATATAAAATAATAAGAAAAATATTAATAAGTTGGATCGAGAAAAAATTTATGAAAATAATATTTTAAAACTATGTTATTTAAATAAACTCTAATTAAAATAAATAAACTAAATTAGTATATTTTTAGGATAAGAATGAAAAATATATTAGTACTTTTTTGTGATACTTTATTAGAACATCTTAATTTTGAAGTATTTTTCATCTTATTTTTTTGCAAGTCTAATAAATAAATACTAATATCATATAAAATATAATTCATTTTTTGATATAATTATAGATATTAATGAACTTTCAATTAAAATATCAAATTTAATTGTTGAATTGATAGAATATAAATTATACAAAAAATTACAACTAATATAAAATCTTTTTTCATACCCAAATAAAATTATTTGTCTTAAGAATTGACTATAAAAAAAGAAATAGTCTTTTTACATATAACTCCTAAATATTTTCTTTAAATTCAAAAAGGTCCTTATAATTTCAAAAACAAATTTTATACTAATAAAAATTGATGTACTAGATTAAACATTTTTCAAAAGCTTAGGGGGGCGACTGCCTCCCTTGTCCTATGGTAGCTGCGTCCCTGCGTGTTTTCTTTTCTCTTTTCTACTAATTGGCTCCACTCACATGAACTCTAGTTTTTGTTATATCATCCAAAAAGTAGACTTGTTTTGTGTGTCTAAGGCCAGAACAATGAGAGGGGAAAAGGAAAGGAGAGAG